CTTACGCTACTATTGCTGCATCACCCTTTCCTCTTGAAGGAAAAGCAACGCAAGCTCAAGATGTAGTAGTGTGTTCCCTCACTTGGCCCATAAGGTCCATATACTTCCCGTGGCTTACCGGAACCCCTTCTGGTGACCCGATAAGTACCCTACGCATTTCGAAACCTTTACGTAGACCAAATACTATTGTCCTATATATCAATCCTTACCTCTGTACCATTCCGGGGCTCCTTGTCATGTCCGTGATCTCATCCAGGACTCCGTGTAACATTCAGTCACCAAATCATATAACTCATATAACACTATATCATCAACGAGAGTTAAGCATGCGGACCCTACGGGTTCGAGAACTATGTATACATGACCGAGACACCTCTCCGGTCAATAACCAATAGCAAAATCTGGATGCCCATATTGGTTCCTACATATTCTACGAAGATCTTTATCGGTTGAACCGTTATGACAACATACGTAATTCCCTTTGTCTATCGGTATGTTACTTGCCCGAGATTCGATCATCGGTATCTTCATACCTAGTTCAATCTTGTTACCAGCAAGTCTCTTAACTCGTTCCGTAATACATCATCCCATAACTAACTTTTTGTCATTTGCTTGCAAGCTTATGATGTGTATTACTGAGAGGGCCCAAAGATACCTCTCCGATACTCGGAGTGACAAATCCTAATCTCAATATATGCCAACTCAACAAACACCTTCGGAGATACCTGTAGAGCATCTTTTTTGTCACCTAGTTATGTTCTGACGTTTGATAGCACACAAGGTATTCCTCCGGTATCCGGGAGTTCCATAATCTCATAGTCGAAGGAATATGTATTTGTCATCAAGAAAGTAGTATCTAATTTGATCGATCATATGCTAAGCTAACGGATGGGTCTTGTTCATCACATCATTCTCCTAATGATGTGATCCCGTTATCAAATGACAACTCGTGTCTATGGTTAGGAAACCTTAACCATCTTTTGATCAACGAGCTAGTCTAGTATAGGCTCACTAGGGACACGGTATTTGCTTATATATCCACACATGTATTTAAGTTTCCGGTCAATACAATTCTAGCATGAATAATAAAGCTTTATCATGATTAAGGAAATATAATAATAACCATTTTATTATTGCCTCTAGGGCATATTTCCATCACAATGGTGGTGGCCCAGGGGTTGCACAGGTCAATGGCGTTCGGCGCTCGACGACAGGGTGCTGGTGGCAGTGGCAATCTTTCTCCTCCTAGGTACGGGCCAGCAGCGCATGGGCTCATGCTTGTCGAGGTGGCTACGACCTAGGGTTTGGGCTCGGGTTGATCGGATCTCTGTCCGAGGTGGATCAGAGACCGTGCTCTGGGTAGGTGAGGTTGGGCTCGATCTGGGTAGTGATCGTTCCCTCCTTGCGTGTGTGGTGGTCGGTGGTGGTGGTCATGATATCTTTGCGTTGGTGAGTGGAACCGCACCGGTGGCCATGCACATGGCGTCGTGCAAGCTTGCTTGGGCTAGGGCTTGCTCGCCAACGACCATGGGCAGTCATAGAGTCATGTCCCCCCAGCCCACTGGAATTGGTTGGGGACGCAGACTTGAGGGCCTCATACGATGGAGGCACCTACCCATACTCGATAACTGATGTCGGGCTAGGAGGTGATGGTGTTCATCTGCTCTTCTTACCTTGGTTGAGTGTGTCATGAACTGAGCGGTGTACGTTATCTTGCGATAGGGATGCCTGGGTGGTGGCCCTGAATGGCAATACACATAGTTGGCTCTCCGGCGGGCACCATTGTAGCGGTGGTGTCTCTCCTTCCTGGTTTTGTGGGAAGCACAAGGTGTAGGAGCGGATGGCTCTGGCGTGCTCTTTGCCTTCATAGGGGCAACGCCTTGATCTGAATCTAGGGATCACGCTCATCTTGGAGGCCTCGTTGTGGCATGGGTGACTTGCCAATGATGGAGACACCCGTGGGTGGATGGGGGTTTTGTTAGGCTATTTCACACGATGTATCAGTGAGGGAGCCACCATGAGCATGCAAATTAACTTTTGCTCAAGGCGACATCAACGATAAGGAACATGGAAACATTGATGGTGAGGAACTTGGCAGCATTGACAGTGAGGATCATGGCAGCATTGACAATGAGGAACTCGGTGATGGCAGGTTTGTGGTGGGGGTAGGGACGAGCATAGGGGTTGTCGAAGGTGCTTTGTGTCTATTTTGAGTTGTGTCATGGTTATAGGCTAGGTGGTGGTGGTGTGCACCCTATTTGTTTTCCCTATCCTCTACCATGATAGATCTGGAAAGTTGCGTGTAGAGCAATGTCTAATTGCGCAGACAGTCATACTAAGTTGGCCATGGGAGTAGCCCAAATTTAAATTTGTACCATGGCGAAGTTTGCATTGACGACCATACTAAGTTGGCTAGAGAAGGTTTTTGCGCAAGTTACTCTATTTCCATAGTCACATTTTGTTGGCAACTTCAGTGGTTGATATATTCACATGTTTTTTGTTGTTGACATAGGACAAATAGGAATCCGATGATGGGGGAGGGTATGGTGGCATGGCAACGCTAGCTTTGTTTTTTTGCACGAACATGTGATGTGTCCTGAAGATGGGATCAATGTCGGGGGTTACATAATGTCGCTCGTACGTGCATACCCTCATTCGCTTTGACTAATATGTGTGTTTTGCTTTTCACATACAAATGAGGTAAATAAATTAATGGAGGTACAAGGAGATACGGGCGGTAGTGGAAGAGCGGTATCTATACCGTACACCATTTATGAACGATGGAACACAAAATAAGTTGCTCACCAGTAGACATCTACCACTAATAATGAAGAGGAGGGAGCGAAACATGTGGTAAGCAGGGAGTTTGATAGTTTGGAGGCAAATCTTTTGTCTCAATATAAAACTGACCTTGTATGGGAAACACGTTCATAGGATTTAATGGTTTTGATTCATTTTTCGCGCTCACTTGCATCTGTATGGTCATAATCAATCTCGTATTGCAAAGTGGCAGAAGCACAAATTCCCATGCAGGACATTACAGACCCATAGGGAACATGCACATCTACTGTAGTAGTTAATCAAGTAACAATAATGCTAGTAGGCACCCACATGTTTTTTTTCACTTTTATGGGTTTTCATTATGTTCCTTCGTTGTTACTCCTTCAAACCACTTTTTCACTGGAAAATAGAGTTTCACATTACCACGGGGCCGGCTGAGAAGCCTGCTACGGTGGGCGGGGTGCTCCTCCCTGGGTGGCTGCGCCCCCCTGCTTGCGGCCACCACGATGGCCGCCGCGACGACCCCCCCATTGGCCACCTGCTAGGGTGGCGGGAAGGGGGCGGCCTGGGCGGGCGGGAAGCCGGGGGAAAAGGTGGGCGCTGCCGGTGGCGGTGTCGGGCGCGGTGGTGGCGGGGCAGAACCCCTGTGGGTGCCGGCAACGAGGGCGGTGTGGGTCGCGCGAGTCCGCGCCACCCGCATACGACGCTCCTCCAACTTGAGGTACGCGACCACCTTAGCAAAGGTGGGCTCCGGGATGAGGGTGAGGTTGGAGGCGGCGTTCCCGAAGTCCTCGTTGAGGCCGCCGGAGAGGGTGCTGATGAGGAGCTCGTCGCCGATCTTTTCCCCGAGATCACGGAGCTCATCGGCGAGCTTCTTGAGGCGCATGCAAAAATCGTCGATGGATGAGTCAAGTTGCTGGCACCCGTAAAACTCACCGTAGAGCAGGACCTTGCGCTGCAGCCGGTTGTCGGTGAAGAGGCCATTGAGCTTGGTCCAGACCGCATAGGCGTCGTCCTCGTCATCCACCATGGTGTGGAAGAGGTCGCTGGAGATGGTGAGGTAGAACCAGCGGATGATGGTGGCGTCGAGGATCATCCACTCCTCGTCGTTGATCATGAGCGACGAGTCCACGGTGCCGTCCACGTGACCGTGCAGGAGGTACTCACGGAACACAAGCGAAAAATACCACTTCCAAGCGGAGTAGGACGCGGTGGTGTGATCAAGCTTGACCGGGACACGCTCATGGATGTTGAGGTCGCGGACGAGGGTGACATCGAGACCGGCGAACGGGTTGGAGACGGTGGGGGAGGAGGAGCTCATGGCGAGGGTTAGGGTTTGAGACGCGGCGCGGGTGGGTGAAGGCTGGGTGGTCCGGGTTGCGGCGCGGGTTGGTAGGGGTGGCGGCGCGGGTGGGAGGAGGGGGTTTCAGGAGAGAGGGC